ATCCTCCTCGCCTCTTTGTTAAGAAATCATTGACAAAATCAAGTTCTAATGCTAACAGACCGATACTAGTCCTAGGACTAGAGGCCGGGTAACGACCCAGGAGTTGGAGGTCTTGTACTTGTCTTTCTACTTGATACCGGGTACCGCCCTCTCTAATTAAAATAAAATAAATTTAATAAAAATTAATTCTAAAGATTTTATCTGATGATGATGGAAATAAAGATAATGATGAAGATTGTGTTAGTAATGGTGGGGTTTGTGGTACCCTTGGCAAGATAAGTTTTTCATGATTCAACAAAAAGTTTTATGATTTAATGATTTTTTAGCATACTGCAAGGAATAAAAAGAAATAAATTTAAGAAATAAATATCAAAAAATCTAATTAGAAAATTTATTTTAAATACCAACAAGAGAGAAATCTATATTAGTTTAGTTTTATCATTCCCTGATAATTTAGTTAACAATAACATAATATTATTTATTATATTATAATTATTTATTATTCATTTATTCTGAATTTTTTCTACTTATTTGTTTGTTAATATTAATTATAAATTATATAGCATTATGACTTGTTATATTTAATCCGTCCTTATTTCTGTTTTAAATATTTTTTGTAGATTGGATTTTTATAATTACTTATTGCAATTTATTTAACTATTTGAAATATATATTCCAAATTATTTTTGCCAATGATATAGAATTTTTTAGCTTGAATTATTTGAATATAAAGAGATCCAGATGGGGTGTGGGATTTTTGATAAAAATTTTCTTTAATAAATTTATGGGTTTTCATGTATTTGTGGTGATATTAATAATAAAGTAAGTTACTTCAATTGAATACCTTGTAAATTAAACAAATTTTGGCACCTAGCAAATTCTACCTTTAACATTCTACATACTTTTAATATTTTATCATAGTACGCCAGACAAAATGACAGGCAGATGTTTAACTTGAGCAAAAAAAGTTTCAATGCAATAAAAAAAGCAATTTTTAAAAATTTAAATTTTAAAAACTAAATTTAAAGAAAATACAAATGAAAATAATGATCAAAATGAGGATATTTTTTACGAGAAAGGAAGTTGATCGTTCCTCCAATTGATAATTCCGTTAATAATTGTTTGTGTAAAAAACACAAAAATCACAGTGCCCAGAAATTCTTAAAAAATATGCTGTAAAAAACAGGGCAGGGGTAATTATTTTTAAATTTTAATTAAATTTATAAAAATTAAAATATAAATTAAAATAAAAATTAAATTTTAAATTTTAAAAAATTACAAATATATTAAAAATAAAAACCAATTATAAATTTTTAGATAATTCTATAAAATACAAATTATATATTAATAAATAAGTTTAAGAAGTTTCACTTAGTACGTGCCTATAAAGCAAAAATAACAAAAACTCATGTTTATTTTATAGCAAAAATGATGTTATTTATAAAATATTAATTAGATAATGTAAAAATTACTGGAATTCTTTAAATTAATTTATCCAAACTCGTTGCACATATTGAAGAATAAGTTTACGAAACTTTGCTAAATTGAAAAGTTATTTATAAAATTTGTAGAATATTTTTACATATTCAAAAATTGATGATGTTTATTCGCTTGATCCGGTGTAAATGAGTTTTTGAAAACTTTTAATATATAATTAATATGTAATAATAAACTTTTAATACTAATTTGAAAACTTTTAATATGTAATAGATTAAAATCATTAATAGATTAATTAACAAATTAATAATAGATAACTTTTAATATTATTAAATTAATTTGGACTGTTTGGATAATTAACTTCCCTCTCTCTATTTTTGATTAGGGCAATATAAAGAAAAAGGTCAAATCTTACTTAATATATGTATGCCAAAGGTTTTTAAACAAAAATTTAAAAAAAAGTAATGTCTATAAAATTGACCTACTATTTTTTAAGAATTGATAATTTAAATATTTTTGTTTTATTGTGATTCAATATAGTACATTTACTAAATAATTTAAAAATATTAGGATAAAAAAGATAACTTTTATAAAATTCAAAACAAAATTCGAGCCAAATTTTTGATTTTTATTATAAATAACACTCCAGTATATGTAATAGCACCCAATTTTAATTCAAAATCCGAGTTAATTACCAAAAAGTCAAAAAAAGAAAAGCTGAAACGGTAAATAAAATTTTTCATACAGCACTGCCCCCAAAATTGTTAATATTTTTTTTGATAAATATTTTTTTATTTTAAATAATAGGGCTTAATGCTAGAAATAATTATAATTTCTAAATTTATAATAAATATTTATTATAAATATATTGTTAAAGCGTTTTTATTTAAACATGGCATTATAAAATTAATTTTAAAAATATCTAGTAAAATTTTTACTGTTAGTGATTAAAAGTTTGTAAAAATGGTAAAAATTAAAAATGCTTATAATGTACTGTAACAGATAAATTTTAAGAAATATTAACAAAATTCACGTCAATTTGGTTAACCATTGAAGGAATATTTAAAATCACGTGTTTATATGAAATCTTATTTAAAAATATATCAAATTTAATTAAAAATACTTTTGTAAATATTTATTTCAATTTAGAATTTCCTTTGCAATTAAATTGCAAAAAGTTTAGTGTAAAAATAGTAAAAAGCTGGAGTAAAAATTTAAAAAATTTAACATTAGAAAAAACTAGTTAGTTATATTAAATTCCAGGATCGTGACTCATTCAACTACTATTTTCATAACTAAAAATTTATATTATAAAAATTTAAAAATTGCCAAATAAAGTTTAAAAATTTTAAAATATGGATCAAAATTATAAAAATTATATTAAATTCAAAATTAAAATAATTATATATTAAAGGGTGAGCTTTTTGGCATAATATTAGATTTCAATACCCTTACGAATCGTTCCTCTTGGCGAACATTTACTATAAATGAAGCTTTAAATTACATAACTTATCAATTAATTTTGTCACGAAGGACAAATCAAATGACAACAACAGCGAAAAACGTGGGTCTCGTGATAACGATTCATTAAATTAATATAAATTCTAAAAAAACTAAAATATATGAAAAAAAATCCAAAGGTTGAGTGAGAATACTCATGTATCTTTAATTCCAAATTGACTTAAGCTTCCTTTCATTGCAATAATTTATTCTACCTTCCATCAAAAACACTTTCATAGTTCAAATAGAGTCCTATTATGAAAATGATTATTTATAAATTTAGTAATTTATTTTGCAACAAATAATTATTAATTAGAACTATTTAAATACAAAAAGGAAGATACAATTAAATGAAAAAACATAAACAAATTAAATAAATATGAAAATTAAGTAAAAGTTTTTTACGCTCCAAATATCTTACGAATTCACATTTACCTAGTTTATTGAAATTTCGAAATTTTCCATGTTAGTCAATAATGTATTCGATTACAAATTGTAAATAAAAATTCAAACGTCCGCATTTGCTAAGCCATAGCAAACCTAGTTTTTCGTTTTAAATGAAGTACTTTATAATAAAATTTATCTTATTTAAACGTATAACATATATTAGTGTATAATAAGAATGATGTTAACTTTATATAATTACCACAAAATTTATGTATGTAAGATTGCAACTAAATAGTATATTAAAGTGTAAATATATTAAGTGTAAATATGTAAAAAATTATTTAATATTTCTTATTATCAAGTAATAGCTAGTAAAATTGTAAGGAGTAATAAATTGCTACGTGAAATTTTATTGTGAAATTTTGGTCTATATTTGACAAAAAATAATCAATAAAATCAAATTATGGAGTATCTATTATTGTTGAAAAACCAATACCCTACCGGTTTGTTGGATCTTTTTTGAGCAAACAAATGGAAATGCTCTGAATTTATAAAATATTTCACAAATAATTCCAAATCGTGGATATATTAATAATTATATTGATAGACTTAAATAGACAAAAAAATAAATATTCGAAAAAAATAAATATATACAGATCAAGTAGAATTGGATATTGCGGCGAGATAATCATTTAGAAATAGATATCAGATTCGTAAAGATTTTTATCGAATTATGAAAATATCAAAAATAGTTTAATATGGAATAATAATTGAAAAATAAAATAACCTAACACTTAATTTGCTTTTTAGAATGAACATTCATTTGCTTATTAAATAAAAAATCATATAATATTTATAAGACCAAAGTTGAAAAAAATTCAATAGAGAGTCCATGATGAAAATTTCACTTCCAACACGAAAAAGATTAAAGCACAAATGATTTATATTTAAAAATAAGTTATCTGCGAAATAATCAAGTTTTTTCCCAAGTCTCATACAATGAAAAATAAATGAGTGTAAAAAGCAATGTTAAAAGAGACGCATGATGATTTATTTACCCCCTCTTTAGAATTTTATACAGTCGGACCTCACTATAAGATATCCTCTTGGAGCTAAAAATTGAACCTTACTATGTGAGGTATATTAAATTAAGGAATCGCTTAGGCATTCCTTTGACAGTCCCGAGATGTGCCCGGGACTGAAGGAGGAACCGGGGAGGGACTCTTTGACTGTAGGGAGTGCTTGACCCAGGGAGTGCTTGCCAAATATTGGGTAGAGAGATTGCCTAGTAGTAGAGGAGAGGACATTTACTAATTAGAGGACTGTCGACAGTCTCCAATGAGAGGGAGGGAAGACTGTCATAGGGGAGGGAAGGGGAAGTCTCCAGTGGGGAAGTGTGTTAGTACTGGATGATTAGTATGATGGTCTATAGGGGAGGAACAGTGAGTAACCAGCAAGGAGCAAAACCAGCAAAGGAGCAAGGAACCCGGTGAGTAACCGGGTTCCTTCTCGTTCTCTCTCTAATCTAGCGGAACCCGGTGAGTAACCAGCAAGGAGCAAAACCAGCAAGGAGCAAGGAACCCAGTGAGTAACCAGTAAGGGGGGAAGACTGTCATAGGTGATGGGAGTATATAGTATTTGGAGTATCTTAACTGAGGTTCGACTCTATCTTAAATCTAAATTACTCTATCAGATGCATGTAAATATTTATTACTCATTCTAATAGTTTTCCGATTTAAAGCATTTATGTGAGAGTCGATATGTTGGACCCATTGCTTTAAAATTTAATTTAAATTATGTAAATTTAGAAAATCACGAACTTCAAGAGCTTTGCGATCTTCACAGTGGATAATGCCTGAAGAACGACTATCTACTGAACGGACTTCGAATGCATTACTTCTTGAAAAATTCAATTTTTAAATTAAAGTTAATCCCCCGGGAGTAACCCAACCCGACCCATGACGGAAAAACCCCCAACCATGAGGGAGTTGAGGAGTACAAGGGATTATTAGGGGAACAACCGGCGAGGGAGTACAACCCTGCCACCCCCGACCCACGATTGATCTTGTTCTCCCAGCGGAACTATGCCCACGAGCGTACGTTCGGACGATGAACCTCCTCAAAGAATCTAGGTTCAGGAAGGGTTGGGCCGTTCGGATGAGAGAGATGAAAGAGAGAAGAGAGATCTCATTTTTCATTCGGATAAGAGACCCCAACCCTCCAATCCTTTCAACGACAGATTTATCCCATTCCAAGTATCTCAATATGCTTTTGAATCATTCAAATGCATACCTAAGCTTATCAGTTGCCCACAAATACCTACTAACAAAAGCTAGAGGTAAAGGTATTTTACAAATCGTTTTCCATTTTTCTCCTCCATTTCCAACAACATCATCTTCACTTTCAAAAACTAAATTGTTTTGGGGTTCTTCTATAATTATTGTTTTTTCTTCGAGTTTTGGAGATTGTTGGTATAACATTGGGGTTTTTAAAGCGCTCTTAATTAGATTATTTTTTAAAATTAGGAACGTGATATTACGTACACTCTAGGAGACTGTAGTCATCCAACGGAACTACCCACGAGGGACTGAGCCGTAGAGACCCCAACCCTCCAACACGTTCCACGACAGATCTAGTACTCGTTTTCTACTTGTATCTCAATATGTTCCAGAGGAGAGGGTTTGAAACTTTTGACAATTCCCTGTAATACTTCCTCACCAAATATCTTCCCTATACCTCTTCAGGTCAGGAACGACACTACAAACAAATCTAATTCAGTGAATTCAGTTCAGTGATTCAGTGAATCGGAATTCCTAAAGAAACGTCGGAACTTCCCGATTCTAGGGAATTAGGCTGGTAGATCACTGTTTGTATAAAGGCAAAATTTGAAACCTTCTGAAGTACTATAAGAACATACTCTCACCTTCCCAGCGGATCTAGGGAGGGCTGGGCCTTTGAAACCATCATGAAGGTCTTAAGATGAGCTCAAGTCTCGTATTTATTTCACAGTCCAGTCTCTAATTCGTAACTGGACCCTGTTAGATCAAAACCTATTATTAACCAGCGTTACACAAGTGTACGTAACATAGAGGTATTTCTCCTTAATAGATTTTCTTCTCAAAAACCCTACCTTAAATACAGTAACATGGTCAGAAACAGGAGAAGTTTCCGCAGTGTTACGCAAAAGAGGAGAGGCGGAGCTGTCACGTTTTAGAGTTAACGTAACGTGGGGGCCAGTAGAATCTTTAAGAAGCTGGACACCTCTAAAAATATTTTTGACAATTTTAAAAATTTTCAAAGAACCCTCATGCGTTTTCCCCTCCAAAGACATTCCATTAACTTCAACAATTAAATCGCCAACAAATACTTGATTAGTTTTGGCTGCTGAGAGGCCGGGAAGGACCTGTAGTTTAAATTTGATTTTACTGGAATTTCTTCTTTGGAAACCTCGAGAGGGGATTTGAAAGGTCTCTCTTACTAAAAAATTTTATTTCCCTTCATAGTATCGGTCACTCTAACACTTTTTCGATAAGCTTAGTTAATAAGGGTCAAGGACCGATCCGATCCGGAGAACCGAGGGGTTTTGCTTCAGAGATCCAAAGTTTTTTCAAAGACCTGTCTGTATTCTGGGACCGTCTCTCATTGGTCACTCGGAGATTCTTTCCATTAGATTAGTTAACTAAGGAAACTAAAGAGTATCTTTCCATTGGGACAAGGAAACCAAACAGATTGTGTGGATAGCTAAGTTTCCTGGGACCCCTCCTGGAACCAGAACCCCGAGCCTGGATTCCAGGACTGTTAGGTACCCTGAGTACTTAACCGTTCGATTTATAGGAATCGGGAAAGGGCTTGTTTATGCCTTAGAAATATGTGAATAACTTAAAAAGATGAACAAAATTACCTTAGAGATCACTATCGGCACTCGATGTGTTCCCTCACTTCCTCCCTAAAACACAAACTAAAACAATTAACTCATCAATTTCCAACTTTAATAGAAAGTCCAAGTCCCTCAGGCCCTTTAGGCACATTTACTGTTCTAAGAGTTACTTGCTGTTCACTATTTAAATCTACAACGCTCAATTTTGCTGCGGGTGAACGTCCAATCCCTTGATGCTGTTGAGCATCTGCAAACTCTTTTGCAGACTCGTCATTAACGGGTAATTGGACGTTGAGTTGGTCTGGAATATTTTGGAGGAATTTATAAAAGAGACTTTATCTCAAAAATAAGAGACCACTCACCGCAAGAGGTAGGAGACCCTCTCAAGAGGCAAGGGACCTCTCCTCTAAGGTGTAATAAAACAATCCCTTTCTTGAGATGAGAGTCCTCTTATCTCGAGAGAGATAAGGTGAGAGATGAGAGACGGTGAGAGATTAAAGAGAGAGACGGTGAGAGATGTGGGAGAGAACGGTGAGAGATGAGAGAGACGGTGAGAGATGAGAGACGGTGAGAGATGAGAGACGGTGAGAGATGAGAGAGAGACTGTGAGAGATGAGGGAGAGACGGTGAGAGATGAGAGGTGAGAGAAAGACGGTGAGAGATGAGAGAGACTGCGAGAGAGACTGTGAGAGATGAGAGAGAGAGAACGGTGTGAGACCTTTCTAAGAAGTAGGTGACCCCTCCCTCAAGAGGCGAGTGACATTGCTCTCAGGAAGTGAGAGACCTATCTTTTAAGGATTTTATTCCAAATTTTCATGAGGTGAGAGAATCTCCCTTTATATTGCTAAACGAGAGCAAGAGATTTAAATATTTTAGGAATTTGGAAAAAATCATTAAGATACCTTTAGTTAACAGTAACCGAGCAATACGTTCACGCCCAACGATGAAACCAAAAGAGGTTGTTGCTGGTTTTTGTTGCTGCCAGAGTACCAAACCGCTATGGACCTATTATATGACAGAGACCTCACTATAGGAAACCCTTACTATCGAACCTCAAGTGCTCCTCTCTTTGGAGCTCAAAGTACGACTTTAGAGAGGATGTCTTAAATAGAAGGTATCACTACTTACTAAGCTCTCCCATCCAATAACAAGCCAAATTCAAAGAAACATATCATAAATAGAAGTGTGTCTAGTATAGGAGGTAAATCTAGATCAAAGTCTGATAGGTATTGGGATCTCATAATGAGATGTATCTTAAATGGAGGCCCAAGCAGCTTCCTCAACTCAATGGGCACTAGAATTGAGCTGGGCTGGCCCAAGGCCTGGGGTTTTTGACCTTTTTGACAGGCATTTTTTGACCTTCTACCTGGGCCTGGGTTTTTCCTGGACTACAGGCTCAGGATCCGGCTCAGGTCAATAAATCAAACCCGGAACCCAGGAACAGGCCCAGCCTTTTCAAAAGTCTCGATCGCTAATGGCCACCCGAATTCTTAAAATCCTGGGTGTATCTAACATTGAAGGTAACTTATAACTTATAATGAGATAATAATGACATACAACATCCAAATTTCGATCAACTCCTCTTTGTTTTCGCATGGCACTTAAATTTTAAATTGAAAATTTAGTAAATCTAGATCAATGTCTTCGAGAGGACAGATATTAGTGATATCCTCTTCAAAGCTTTTTGGGGTATAAAATAGTTTTTTAGTAAGTAACTTGTCAATAAAACAGACAAAGCTAGCAATGAAAATAAAAACAAAATAATAACAGCTGACGCTTATAAAAATAATAAAGTAAAAAATATTTTAATAAAGTTTAAAATTTGATTAAAAATTCTCAAGAAAATTTGACCATCAAAATCATTCGTCGGTTAATAAAATTTTTTTAAAATATTCGTTTTTACTTTACTGAAGTTTCAGCGAAAGATTTTAGTGAAATACAGAGTAAACTGATAAGACACTATCGTTTACTGTGACTTTGACTTCGATATATCTTTAGGACCATTCGATAGAGGACCCTGCTATTGATCGTACCTTGTTATTCTCGGAACTTGCTAGTGTAAAGACTTGTTATTTCGAAGTCACTTTGAGCCGGGATATAACCTTAATTCTTTGTACACCCCAATGTACCGCAGGGGTGTCAAATAGGGACGCCCAGGGTTCGATTCATCTCCTCGAGGCTTATCGAACCATTCCAAAGCGCCCCGGATTCGAAGATTTTGAACAAAGTTATAGCTCTGCGGTACGTTGAACTTGCGGTACATTGGACTGCTCCCGTTATTTAAAATTCCCTTATTAATGCCAGTTATACTATAAATATTGTAAAAATAAATGTGTAAAATAGCAAAGAATACTCTTTATCAATCTTAAAATATTATATAAGTTATTAACAGATTTTTGATTTTATCATTTTGGGATTTATTTAATTCAATTTTCTTTTTATTTTAATAAAATCTGTTCCAACAATTTTTTCCAATCTTCTGACCTTAAATATTTTTATATTTTTAATATTGAACCTTAAGATTTTCAGGACAAAAAATCTTAACTTATAGTGAACTATATCTCAAAGAGGGTATAGTCAAGACAGTGGCCATCAAGTCTGAAAACTTATTTTGAATAGAAGGGTATCTACTAGGGGAAAACTGGGGGTCGAAAACTAGCGTATATATTTTATTTATATTTTCCTACCCCGATATATTCAATCAAATCAATTCCATAATCTGATGAATAAGAATAGACTATTTTGTCATGTACAATATAGTCCTCAGTTTCAATAATTGGTTTAATATCATTATAGCCTTCGAAATTAATGCTAATCCGAATTCTATCTCCAGCTTTCAGAATGACAGAATTATTTGCATTATTCTTGTTGTCCTGTGCTTTTTGACTCCAGTTACCATTCTAATTAGGTATATAATTTAGCTATGTATATAGTTAGGGTTTCCAAAAACAGCAAAGGGCAAACCCCAGTTATGTCCTAGGGTGCGATCTAACCTAGTATACACGTTTAGCCGTATAGTAAATATCTACAAAAATAACGGAAATGGCAAAAGGCGAGAATAATGAAGGACAGGCGGTTCACCGCCTGAAGGACAGGCGGTGAATAATGAAGGACAGGCGGCTCGGCCCAGGTCTATTAACACCCCTAAACTTCCACTTTTTATCGTATGTAGCAATCAAATATACGTGAAATTTTCCGCGTATATTTTTGGAAACCCTAGCTGTAAATTTTAAATAAAATACTAACCACCCATGCATTGCTTTCGGCTCGATTACTGTATATCTTTAGACCGTAAATGATTTGTCCAACTAAAAACAAAAATGTAAAAAGTAGATAGGTTTATACTAGAGACCGGACTGGGAGTGTTGTACGGGAATCGAGATTTCGAAAAATTCTCGATTCTCAATTTTCGGTCTCTAGATTATACTAGGGTAGCACCCCGAGCCTTCGTGATCGGGGGTTGAGCTTTCGGGGTTCAGGTCGGGGTTTTTGGCTAAAAATTCGTCGGTGGTCATGGTTTCGAGGGATGGGGTGTTACCCTAGTTTATACTAACATTCTAAATTCATAGCGAGAGTCCTGTGCATTAAAGTAACAAAGATACTTCCACTGAATGGATTTGGAACTTGTCCTTTAATTATGATTTGATCTCCCTTTTCTAACTTCTCCGTTCTAATTATTGTTGAAGGCAATTTATATTCTTCAACCAGTAAGCATTTTTCAGAGGTAGATTCCAAAAAGTCGATGTCTTGTATATAGCCCGTGACCTGAATATTAAATATCACATCCTCGGAACCGATTTAAACATAATAAGTGACTAGAGTGTAATACTCCTCTGGTATTGGAAGAAGAGTATTATACTATGTATACATTAGAGATCGGACTGAGACGAGATCTCGATCGAAAATCTCGGTTATCGAGATCGGGATTTTTCGTATGACCCATCGAGTTTTATACTACATGAGGAATATTAAGGGCCGACTGTATTAAGGCCAGACTGTGAAAAACAACCTACCATAGCATAATTTATAGTCCATGCAGGAATTCGATGTTTGTGGTAAATGAAATCTGTAGCTCCATTAATGCTTATCTTGAAGTAATGAGTGTCAGCAATTATTTGAATAGTTACAGGCACATCGGTTTGTCCAATTGGGTTTTTGTGAGTTTTATTCTTTCCCCAACCTCCTTTACGACGATGATAGCTGTTGATGTATAAAGCCGAGTTCATTCCTTGAGTATAAGTAATATTCTCTCCAAGTTCTGAGTACTCCTCTGGGTCAAACACAAAATCTAACATTAATGCCGTGTTTCCATCTTTAAAAGAGCCGGATTTTTAATTGTTAATCATTAAAGATCTTATACTGTCAACCCTTATTATGATATACTCTCAATACACTATCCTCCTCTGCCATATACACCTATCCAGATAGACAAGGTACATCATATACGACCTCATTTTTCAAGATTTGGTTGTCCCTTGCGTGAAGGGAATTTACTCTTTTTTGTGAAGAGAGCTCCCTAAAATTTATCCTCTTTTTAACATACCACTCATAAAGAGAGCTCTAAAATATTCTCTCCAAGTTCTGGGTACTCCTCTGGGTCAAACACAAAAAAACACAAAATGGTGTATCTTACAAGGAGATTCGACTATATTCATAATAATTAAAATGAATAATCTCTCACATATCTCACTAAAGTCATTCTCATCGTTGAGAAGGTATACTTGAAAACTTTTTTCTCCAGCCATATTTTCTGCCTCTGGAACTCTTCCCTCAAGACAGACAATATTTCCAAATTCTTTAAGATCAGGCAAATATTTTTTAAATTTTTTATTTGGCATTTCTAATTCTTCTTCAGTTATTTTATAGTCGAATAATTCAAGATCACTATTTACCTTAATTATAAACCTTTGTTAGAATTTGTAACACGGCAGGGACATTACTAGGTGTTATGTCCTAGGATGAAGTCTTACCTAGTGACTAACAGAATAACACAAGAATAGAATAACACGTTTATCTGAATAGTAAATACAAGAATAGCGAAGGTGGCAAAAGGCTAAAATAACTAAGGACAGGGGCGAATGCCACCCAAGACCGATTTCTACTGGCTGCTTTTATACTAACCTACACATACCTAACACTAGTGGCTCTTACTATGTAGAATTTTCAAGTCTCTTCTAGGGCTTCCTAATAAGGTTGTCGGATAGGTGGAAATCCTCGGATATCCGGACGCCAAAAATCGGCCGAAAATGGACGCCAAACGTCATGACGCACATCCCTGCAGAGCATGGACATTACAATTGATTTCGTGGCTCTTACTAGTTTACAAGGCCCTAGCCCTTGGCCCAATAAGATGAATTGATGGTGGGTCTTTCAGACTGGGTACTGTGGGTTTACTAGCCCTAAGTGTACGCTGTCCCAACTCCCAATAAAATCTACCATAATTTGATCAATCTTCCAAGTTGGTACTGGCAATATTAATGTATTATGAGGATATATTTTTCCATTAATTTCAAATACATATTTTGTCATATTGCCTGTTTTGTTTGCAATAATGTTTAATTCGAAAACTTTTGGCTTTCCAAATTGAAAAAGTTTAGTGTTGGTTTGTCTTTTTTCTTTAGTCTAAAATTTGGTTTGAAAATTATAACAAATTGGTTGAAAATAAAATTGGTTGAAAATTAACCTCTAGAGGACAAAAAACAAATTGGTTGAAAATAAAATTGGTTGAAAATTAACCTCTAGAGGACAAAAAACAAATTGGTTGAAAATAAAATTGGTTGAAAATTAACCTCTAGAGGACAAAAAACCATCCATTCATTAGGGTAGCCTCGACCTGGTATTATCCCCCCCCCCTCCCCCTCCTCCAGTCCTCGATTTAGCTGAAGTACGAAATGGTCAGTCATTTTTCCTTCCATAATTTTAAAAAAGTAGCCTGTGGTCCTCGACACTTGGGTCGAAAAAAACCTCATACCTTCGTTTTGTCCAAAAAACTGGGTCAGTTAAATCTCAGATTGAGACATTTCGGGGAATAAATCCTACAATATATACTCACATTGTAATCCTCTGTTTCTATTGCGTCTGTGAGAGTGTGCCACGACAAGATAGGCTTTCTTTTAGAAATTAATCGAAGCTCAATTGTAAATCCACGGTATTTGCAACGAAAACGAAATGTAACATTTTCATTATAAATTGTTTGAATATCAAATGTACGCCCACCATCAACAACATGTTCATAATCTTTAGACAGCTAAATTAGAAAAATTTATAGCTGTAGTAATAAAAAGGTAAAAGTGCCGAAAATCGGAACTGTCGGAACTCGGAAATGGGTTAAGAGTTGAAACTGGGAAATAGAAATAAGCCTAAATTTTCAGAAATCGAAATTTCGATTCACCTCTGGCTGGCATCGATTTGTAACATCTTGTCTAAACGCTTTTGCTCAACATTACTTTCGTACCACATGCCCTATTTTTTGTTCTAAATGTACAGAATGGTCAGTGAATAGAACGATAGAGCTTGTCGGTCTGAGTCGAATGATAATTGTAGTAGGAGTTGATCGGAGTCGGGGTTCTAGACAAAAATATCAGGGTTCGGGGTTAACTGTCTAATTAAGACTAAAAATTATTCCTTACATTTTTAATATCATCATAATTTAGCGTTCGAATAAACACTGGAGTAACCGTAACAAAATCTCCAAAAATTTGCAATGTGTTGCTTCCTTTTCCTTTAAATAACTGTCCATCCCACCATTTAGTTTCAGGCCAATATTTGGTAACAACAAACTCAGTTCCCCATAAGTTACTTGAAAACCCGGACCAAACATAATATTTTGTAAGGCGAAAAGATGCGAACAAAGTTACTCCTTTTTCAAGCATATTCACAGGTTGTGGGAATTCTTTTACAATTTTACCCTAAAATAAAGTCAAAATTATTTTACTTAGGTGAAGGGCACATTAGCTCAAAATAGCGCCCGACCAGCTTTATCTTTATAGGCTGAAGAGAACATGTCCTTTTATAGGCTGAAGAGAACATGTCCTTTTATAGGCTGAAGAGAACATGTCCGTTCGGACTACATATTATGCTTCCAGGGATTTTAGAGAAAATACAGTGTCTAGATTTGAGCTTCCCGGCCTATTTTGATATACAATTTACCTCAAAACGGTGAGTAATCATTGTTGCATTTGCATATAGTTGAATAATGCTTTTCGTTCCATGGAACACTTCAATAGTTCCATTCTTTCCTTTACTACTAGTCCACAATGTAAAATTGACTAATAACTCCCCTTCAGTAATGTTTCCCAGAGGGTATGTTGTTTTATCTGTGTATCTGTTTTGGCAATCCTTATCGTGGTAAAGTTTCCCCCAGTCATCTCCTTCATAACCTTTCGGCTCTATGTATACAATTTCTGGTGCTAATGATGGAGGCGTTGTTGGCATTTTAAACTAAATTTTATTAGAATTAGTTAACCCTCGGAAAACTTCGATAACACTCGGAGCATATAATAAGAGTATCTTAAATAAAGAGATATCCCTTTAATAGTCCAAACCCCCGATATATCCCTTAAAACTCCAAATCTCTGATATCCCTCTTAATCCCCTCTCACCACTTCCCCACAAATTCTAATATCATTCTTCACCCAAATCCCTCGATATCCCTCTTAATCCACCCAAATCCCCCGCTATTACTCTTAATCCACACTAATCCCTGATATTTCTCTTAACCCCTATCAAGCCCTGATATCCTTCTCTATCCTCCCCCTCCCCGATATACCTCACAATTCCCCAAATCCCTGATATCCCTTTTAATCCTCTAGCACTGGGTGTGTGTATCCGACCGTATATCTTTTAAAAACCCACCCATGCCTCCATCCCACATGCACACCCTTTATACACAAACAAATTTAAAGTTCGTTGCCCAGTTGTTGGCAACATATCCAATCCCAGGGTCCAAATCCCGGTGTAATTGTGCAAATAAGCCCCAATGTTAACATGTTCATAAAATTTTTCACTGAGCTTCCTTCCATCGCCCATTCTAATTATATCTCCAGGCACAAGTCTGACTTTTCCATTTTTGACTTCTTTGGACATTTCACGAACACGCGAAGCGAAATGGTCCTTATCTCCAAGTTCAATTGCGAATAGCAAGGTCTTGTTCAGAACATATCTAAATTTTAAACTAGGATAACAACCAAACACCAAATGGACTGGGACAATTCCAATACAGAATCTATGGAACGGAAAGGTACCCCACAGTACTCGAACTTTCTTTCGAACCGATTCCCGACACTCCAGACCCGAAATGGTTGTGTTGCTACTCTATTTTAAACGATGATGGGTAGAACAGTCAGGGGACTATTCTACAAGACGACATTTGCATAAATGTCATGACATCTGGCAATGCCATGAGTTGACACTTGTAATATCGCTCTGTGCAATATGCCTCAGCTCTCAAAAATAAATTCTGGGTTGATAACAAAATAGTAAGGGGGTCCATAGAAAGGTTACCCCCCCCCCCCTCCAAGAAAGAGGTTTATCATGTCAGGGGAATTTATCTGTCGAATGCCTGATAGATAATTAATTATAAATCCCCTCAACTCTTTGTTGGTGAAGGACAATTTAATTGTCGTCGTGAAGATTGATTCGTTAAAACCATCAGGTTTCTCATATTTCGAACTGAGCATAATTCCATGCCAGATGTGGAAGGGAGCTTTACCAGCAGTACATCCACCTACTTCACAATGTTTTTTACGTTTTTCTGCACATAATCGGCTTATTGGATTTGCCTGGAATTTAAATAGTGTTTAAAATCTGTGGCCTGTTTTTGCGTTCCTCACAGAACGCCATTTTTTGAATTTGAAAATAACGCCCAAACGGAACGCCAAAACTTTAAAAAATTTACTTCATGCTTCGCCATACGGTATGGAATTGTTGTTACCAGACCATTTAATGTGTTGTTTCCACTTAATTGGCCGGGGTAGCAAATCAAAAGCCTTGAAAAATTTTTGGCCTAACTACAGTTTCCGGTCCAGGCTTAGAATTGGACGATTTATATGTCATTCGAAAGAGCTCGGCGAGCTGAGTCGAATGACATCAAAATTTTTCAGCGGAAAAAATTCTGAGCCGAGATATAGGGCTCGAAATGGTCAAAAATCAAAGGAGGGATAAGCTCATTTTTGGGGTGAAAAATTCGAATATACAAATAATAGCTCATTCGAAAGGGCTCAACGAGCTGAGTTGAATGACACCAAAATCAGCTCGATTGGACAAGTTTGGACAAAGTTACGATAGAAAAACTAAAACCTAAACCTATGGGGCGTCGGCGAGGCGCTTGTGCAAAACCCCGCGCTTTGCGCGGGATTTTGCGGCACGCGCCTCGCAGGGAGTCTACGGGCGTTGGGTCTGGGCTCGTAACATAAACCTATTCCTATCTCACTTGCTCTGGATGTATTGGGGCCTCCGTAGCAGCAAAAATCTCCACAGATGCCATAGGTAAGGAGCTAAAATAAAAGATCATAACTTTTTCAAATCAAGTCGGATTCCATTGATTTTGGTGTCATTCGACTCAGCTCGACGAGCTATTTCGAATGAGGTATAATTTGCATATTCGAATTTTTCACCCCCAAAAACAGCTTGGTCCCCCCTATGGTTTTTTGAACTTTAGGGGTCTGTAACTCGACTCAGAATTTTTTCCGCTGAATAATTTTGGTGTCGTTCGACTCAGCTCGCCGAGCTCTTTCGAATGACATATAAATCGTCCAATTCTGAGCCTGGACCGGAAACTGTAGTTTAGCCAAAAATTTTTTTTGAAATTTCGAAATTTTTTTGAAATTTTTGAAATTTTTAAAAATTTTGAAAATTTTTCGAAAATTTCTATTAACATACATATCGCACAACAAGTTTCCTGGCCTTTCAAAAATAAATCCAAAATTGCCTTGATGTTTTTGTCCGGGGCGAAGCATGCACTGATCATATGCCACGTAGGGGATCGCGTGATGGGTGTTTATTATATCCGTCAGATAAGCACTAAAAATTTTAGAAGCTCGAAAATTTGTTCTATTTGTGTATTTTACATATTCGAATATTTTAAGGTCAAAAATAAATCAGATATCGACGACCGGACTCGAACCTCAGACCTCAAATTTGTTAGACAACCCACTTAACCAAAGTAACAAAGGAGTGTTTTCTGGCTATTTTCAACAGGCCCTTAGTCTTAAAATTAGGCTTGGACCCCGACTCCGTCTAACCCCGGCCATGTACGATTTTGTCGAAACTCGACCCCGGACAGACCCCAAAAATTTTCGACTCTGATGGGACAGCCCCCCCCCCCCACTTAATGTGTCCCCAGGTGTTACAGCATTAAAATTCCCCCAGGATTTTTAATAATGCCCCTAGGGATTACAGTAATTTTAATTTTAAGCTTTAATTATTTATATTTAATATTTTACTAATTATTTTCATCCTCATGAGTTATATCTTGCCCAACAACTTTATTTTTGAAATATTCAAAAATAAAAATTAGAAAAATTTGAATATAAAGAATAACTTCTTTTTTCAACATTTTTAAGAAAATTTTCTGAAAATTTAAAAAAATATAGTTGAAACTCTCTATAAGATACATCCAATACTAGGTATACCTCTATTTAATAGACGTCCTATAAAATTTGGATGATTGCTGGATGGGGCGCCCAGCCAATACCCTCTATTTAATACACCCCCTTAAGAGTAGCCTCTTATTTTATCATCGCTTGGGCAGCTCTCTCCCTCCTGTCGCTAACCAAATTTAAAAAATCGTATCTTAAATAGAAGTGTATCCTTTATAGGGATATATTATAAATTCAAGCCTCTTTATAAGACACCCCCTTCTCAATACAAAATACACCTCTCTCTAGAAGCCCTTTTAAAAGTTGGTTGTCCGCAGGATGGAGGCTGCTTAAGAGACACCCTCTATTTAACGTACACCTCCTTACAATCTAATTTCGATATAAGGTCTTTCAATACAAGAAACCTCTCCATTTAAGAGACGTTATTTAAACTCTGATTAACCACTGGGTAGAAGAAAGATGCTTAAGAGATACCCTCTATTTAATAGACACTTCATTATAAGGTTTTATTTTTCCACCCACAAGGGTATCTTATAGAGAGCTTCATTAAAAAAATTTTTTCAATAAGAGAATCAACTCTCAATATCTATTAAAAAAGTAAAATGACTGGACGATTAAAGCGTTATAGCACTTTATAAAATTAAATGATTAAAAAACTTTTATTTAAAAAAATGACTGTTTTGGGAAAATAAATTTTTTTTACAAAAATATTTCATTTTAATGATTCACCCACATAATTATTTTAAATAAAAATTAATTTTACTTTGGTTAATCAGGCGGTACGACGGGTACACCCCAGAAGGTCGAAACCCAGAAATATTTTAAAACTTTTAAGATTTTTAAGGGTTTCAGTGGCGCATAAATAATATAATTCTGAGATTTTCCGGTTACATACCCAGCACTTTGTGTCCCTATATTTCAATAAGATTAGAAATGAGTATGGGGGATATCGGAGATTCGGAGGGATAACAGGGGATTCTGATGGATTAAGGGATAGCGTGGATTAATATGGATTCGAGGATCGAGAGAGATATTAGGATGTGTGGTTCAGAGCTTTCAAATTATTAAAACACGCCAAATGCCGTAACGGCAAAATCAGCCAAAAATTGGCGCCAAACGCCAATTTTAAGCATAAATTCAACAAAATAAAATATCTGAAAATTAATTAACCATGTTCTAATAGAACTAGAAGATAATAAATATAACCAGAAATAATTTAATCTACAGAAACAATTAATCTACATAATCTAACATACCAGAGGTGTGCCGTTTCCCTTCGCCATATTTTCGTCTTTTTTGGTGTTTCGTCTTTAGCCTTTTGTGTTTCGCTTTTCAAAATGACTTTCGCCTTTTTGCCTTTCGTCTTTCGCCTTTTAAAATCTGTTTCGGCACATCCCTGTAACATACCGTATTCGACCTTCCACTGGAGGGAGTGCTTAATCGAGGGAGGGAAATTATACGAGGTTTGAAATTTAAACGTGTTTTAGGGTATTTGTTTGGGGTAATTATTTCAATCCATCGATGTATGGGGTAATTAATAAAAGTGGGGTAATTATTTGAGGGAGGGCAATTAATGCAAGTTATACGATAACGCCTTTATGAGGGTATTATTTGCGGAGTATTTTTCGCGATTATTTTTGGAATCAGAAGAAAAATGCTTATAATATACAGTGTGTTAATAAATTATAACCCCCCTTGAATTTTTTGAGTTTTTTACCTTCCCGATGTCGGATTGTTCTGAAATTTCTGTAGTAGTGTAGTAATGTATATTAAATAATATTTACAAAATATCTTTAAAAATTTCTGATCTCAGACTTTTTTTGGACGTTTTTTTCAAAAAATCAGTGTTAATAAATTATAACCCCCCTTTAAAAAAATTTTTTTAACGCATGGAATATCTCTACAAAAATTTTTCTGAACATATCTACCAATATAGATAAGAAATACAAAAGAAATGAAGTTCCTATGTATTCCCATCATTGAGATCTCGAAATCCGAAAATCAACGGAAAATCGGGGTAGACGTCTTTAAAAAATATTTTCGACACCTTACAGGTGAAATAAAAATTTTATTTTAGGCTTATCTGAAAGCCCTTTAAATTTGCTACAAGATAGCATTAATTTTATTTTCAGAAAAAAATTCGCTTATAAGAAACTATGAGTTTAAATAATAGGTTAAATTTCCATCAATTTTTGGGGGCGTTTGAGTGATTTCTATGACTTGAAAATTTATCACTTTGTCTCTCTACGGTGAATTTTTTCTATATAATGAGATAAAAACTATCTTGTAGCAAATTTAAAGGGCTTTAAGATAAGCCTAAAATAAAATTTTTATTTCACCTGTAAGGTGTCGAAAATATTTTTTAAAGACGTCTACCCCGATTTTCCGTTGATTTTCGGATTTCGAGATCTCAATGATGGGAATACATAGGAACTTCATTTCTTTTGTATTTCTTATCTATATTGGTAGATATGTTCAGAAAAATTT